TTATTTTATTATTTTATTATTTATATAATCAGCAAATATATTTTGGGGGTTTTTATTTGACTTGAGTTGAGTCGAGTTAGAGTTTTAAAATTTTTTGACTCGACTCAACTCAACTCAAATTTTTTGAGTTGAGTCGAGTTATCTTTAAAACTCGACTCGACTCGACTCATTAGGAGCTCTAGTACCTTCATTTCATTTGCACGATATTGTGAGTCGAACAAAGATATATGAGCTATGGAAGCGACTTCTCTATAATTATTTATTTGACTTAGCTTTACCAAAAGCTCTTAGCAACATAATGTATCTATAATACAATAATTAGCTACTTCTCGCATTTTTCTTGCAGATAAAGTAGAAGTGTCTTTTTTGCCTCTGAATAGATTCTCCACATTTCATCATATGGCATGTTAGCTTAAATGTCGCGGCCACACTTTTTAAGAAGAATTTAAGCGATCTTTCCTTTTCAACTTTAGAACGGGGGTAACGTTTTTTGAGACATACTCAGACATCAATTGGTACGCATCCTGGTAGTTTAAGAAAACTGGAAAAGAAATCCTCTTCTGCAATAATTTTGATCTTAATTGCTTCCATATAATCTTTCTTTTCCTCGACCTCCTCACCCGATCCCCATATGGTTTCCTCTTCGTCTGTATCCTTTTTCTTTCCTTTTATCATGAAATTATTTTCAGATTTCACTCCTATCTTTTCACGATATTTCTACTATAGGATTTCTTTCTTTGTTTCGAACTTTTCTGTCATTCGCTCCCACATCCATTCAAGTATATTGAGATGATATGCTCTCTCTATAATAAAACGTCAATCATAGTCAGAATCATTAAATCCAACTTAAATGTCAGAGGCAAATACTCGCCAGCAAAGGGCAAATGCTTTTAGCAAATTTACCTGATTTCTGCATATGATTGTAACCCATCGTGGGTCTGATGCAGTTTCAACGTCAACAAGACAGATTTGTTTTAATGGTTTTGGATCATTTTTTCAATGTAATGTTATACCAATCATAAAGACCTTGTTTTTCTGTTCAAGAACTTCTGCAAATTCTCCCATTTGTAAGGCATATATTTCTATATCCCATGTAAGGATAAGAGTGCAATCTCGTAAGAGAACTGAAATGGAAAATTGGTCACTTATTGTTGTGAAATCCTCTAGTAGAAAGAAATCTTTTATAGACATGAAGAACTCATGCGGACAAAGTGGGTTGGTCTGCTTACCTTTCTTACGTTGTCACCGGGAATAATCTTCTCTGGTTACTTCACGTAATATATCTAAGTTCCTTTACTGCGGTAAGTAACTTC